GCTTTTACTCCATTCGATGTAGACTTGTCTAGGAGACTGTGTTTAAAGAACCAGAAAAACAGACCCTATGGAATGTATTGTGCATCTGTTCTGTGAAACTGCCCAAACTAAGCAATGGCAAGAGGTTGCTAAGCATGTGGGCATGAGTGAGGTTGCCCTAACATTTCCCCTCTGCATTGTCATGTTTTCCAAATGACCAAAACCTCTTGGGTTTAAAGAGAGAGGCACTTCTCCTTTTTGGAGGTGCATTCTTGTAGCCAAGAATAAATCACACTGGTCACCTCTGTCGGTTGCATATACCATTCTGAGAGAAGGAACAGTGAACAAGCCGAATGTTACATTGCAAGACAGGTACAGTTTGGACTTCTTTCATCCTTAAACCTTTTTGCTTGTTTGTTTGTTAAGACCAAAAGTAATGCAGCTACGCTTATTGTGGGAGGTCAGTTAAAGAAGAGGGAGTAGTTTCCACACGTGTGGAACCTGCCTCCTTTGACCACGTAGGGTAGGGCATACCATTACTGACACTGGAGCAGGAAACACTAAAGAAATACTGTCATTATCATGTTTGATCAGATTCCAAACACAGGTTTGTGAAACATACTCAGGTGATATTTTTATTGTCTTTGAAAGGACTTGCTGAATGCAAAACTTCTAAAGTGAATCAAAAAAGGGCTTCTGACATCCCAGAGTGCCCCATAAAAGTACAGCTGAGCAGAAGGTTGACTTTCAAAGGCCTTTAATGAAAGCTCACAGTTAAGGATTTCAGTTACTATTCCTCAACCAGTGCACTCACAATCTTTTCTCTCCCCGTGACGTGCCACCTCTGCATCATCGGTACAAGCTGATACAAGTGAATTCTTCATACATGCTTGTCAGCTTCCCAGAGGCACGTAACGTACAGGAGTCTCCACTGGGTAGTCCTGAAAGCAGAAACTGTCTAGAGTAGCTCTAAAGCTACAAAGCTGTGGAGGCACATTGACCCTTACCTACAGCATTTTAGCGGATACCACTTCAAAGGCTATGTGTCTGCTGCTTATTTTAATCTCTCCATCACTGAATTTCACCTGTTTTGTTTTGCACCTGCTTTTTGTATTTTCAACTGCATTTTACAGATACCAAATGACATACACAGCATACCAAGATTATATGACAAACTGTACTTGTATCTATACAGTGCATAGATTTTGATTTTTGAATCTGATTTTTAGGCAAGGATTTTCAAATTAGCATGAAGTTCTCAGTTACCTATTACTGTAAAGTGCTCCAGGTCATCAGAGTTGCAATCACAGGCTGCAATTACAGGTTTAGTGATTAGAATTACCTTTGTTATTAGCCCAGTATCATGAGTGAGGCCATGATGCAATCAGAGCCTTGTTACCAAACTTTCAGATCAGCGCTGAAAAGACAGTGTTTGAAAATGTGTTTACATTTTACAAATGTTCACTTTTTTCTTTTATAAAAGAAGTGAATGAAAGTGAATGATATGTCACATGATGTATTTCATTTACCTTCGATGTTTGGTCTAAGCTGTTTCAAAAAGGGAGATGACACTTACATGTGACCTCATAACATAACTTTATGAAATTCTATGTGAGTTTCTTATGCAAAATGTGAGATCTACTTGCAATAGATAAAACCAAAAGCAAGTGAGAAGGCACTTAGTTTTTACAAAGATAAAAACAACCAGAGTCGTGAGCTGACTTTGGCAACCAAAATAGTACTTTAATGTATTTTTCCAGATTATGATCTCTTCCACCTCTTTTGCAACTAACACTAACAGCAAAACGCAGGGTCGAGTACACAGACATTTGCTAAATCACAGAAACACAGCACTATGTGATGTGGCACGCTGGCAGGGAGCGCAGCCCGAGCAGAAGGCTGGCGTGTTTCTTCACAGCACACTGTGGCACAGGCAAGACGAATGCTGCACCAGCAGCAGATCAACAGGAAAGGAAAAGTGGTGGCTCGCAAAAGGAAGGATGACAGAAGAAAACATAAGGTGAAGCTGCCACGAAGAGTTATTTTTAGCTGGCAGTACTTGGACGTATTGCCATTTGCCCTTCCAGCAGATTATGACTGTACCTTGCACGGGGCTGACCCACACGGGGACAGCGACCGGGGACCGAGACCAGCCCCTGCGGGCAGCAGCGCATGCCTAGGAAAGCAGTATTTTTTCCCCGGCATTTACATTTTTTCTGGTCTTTCACTTTTTTACTGACATTAGAGATCTGAATGGAAAGATGGACTTTTTTCTCCTCCTCATTCCTCCTTCCAGCATGCTTATGCCAGCACTAGTGCCTGGCTAGCCACAGGGTAAACCAAGCTGGTCTATCTGAGAATAAACAAGAGAAAGAAACTTGCAGGGTGGTTGTGTGGGCACATGATGACTCACGTTAGCACCAGGGGAGATGGGGAGGGTGGGAAGAAAGGCAAGATCATCACCTTCAGCAGCAGTGACAATTTATGTACACCTTCAAAGTATTTGTCACATTTAGAAATATGCTGTGACTTTCAAAGTTTGCTAAATATATGTAGGCTTCAACAGCATGCTCACTTGAGCTTGATGGAAATTGGCTGGAGGCAGCGGGCAGCAGCATCGTCTAACACCTGCTACACCGCCAGCACTCACCTGTTTCTGAGCCGGAGCAAGCAAAGATTATTTTATGGGTACTCAATATGCGCGTGTTTGTTGACAGTTCTCGTTGGGAGAAGGGATCGCTAATCCACCATTAAAAGTGACTACCTTATCAGGCACAAATGCCTGCAGAGCCATGGGCATCTGCCCACCAAATGCAGAATGCTGACCTCCAAGTGCAAGTAGATTGCAAACGGCCATGCAAGCACTGCAGTATGTATTAAATTCATTTGGAGTAGCAATCTTTCTGTCGAATTAGTAACATTTCATAGTAACAAATACAACCCAAATGCCCAAAAGCTGCCTCTCAATAATATCTGCTGGCATAATTGTATCTATGCCAGAGCCTTTGGGCTCTGCTTAGTATACCTGTGTTAGGTAAAGTGTATTTGCAAGTGACGAATGATGCCTGTAGAAGTATGTAGTTGCAGACCAGTTGCAGACCTTCTATCTCCTAAGGGATTCTCTCCAAAATGGGACTAAACTATCTAAGCCACTTAAACTGACCTGGGTGATACTTCAAAAGCAAGGCTGCAGTCTGTATCGATACTTGTCCTGCCCTAGAACTTTCCATCTTCTTGGAAGAAAAATACTACAATGTAAGTACCTTTATATAACTTAGTTGAAATTAGTTCCAATGCAGATTCCCAAAAAGGTTTCAGTGTTGTAAGACTGAGTAAAGAAATATGGTTCTACTCACAATATGCATAATTGTCTACACTATTACTTTTTCAAAATGGCAGGTAATTATCCCTAAAAGGGAGAAAGAGGAGGAACACTTCCTGGTATTAACAGCATGTGAAAACATGCACACTGATAGTTTTGTGATGTAGTAGTTACCTTGCAAAGTCACACCCTCATTATTTCATGGTAACTCATTTGAGTAGTTATAACCAAAAATAAAAGTGTATATACAGGAATTAGCATGAGACAGCTGGGATGGAATGGTTATTTTCTCACAGGGAAATAGTTCTTAACAGCGTTTCCTTACAGGGTATCTCCAGGCTGCAGAGAAAAAAAGAGTTTTAATGGATGAACATTATTATCCCCCCAATGCTCTGATTGAGAAGGAAATGATATGGAAAGCATCTCTCAGCAAACACTGTAGAAGAGCTAAAGAACGAGAGTCAGCTCTGCAGAAGAATTTTCATCAGACAGAATAAAGGCAGAATCACTGCTGCAAAGCATTTTGGACACGATTGCACAGATTTTAGTTCTTATGTCAACAGAAGAAAATGCAGATGAAGATTAAGCAACAAACAGGGTGTTTCTGTCGCTGCTGCTGTTTCTCTAGTTTATGTAAAGGACATTTCCAACCACCCAGTAACGACCAAAATATCTGACATTAATTCTGTGTTTTTCAAGTCACTTGCTGTCAGTTTTTACAAAGCAGTGACTTATCATGAATGACAGACAAATCTGAAGACTTTAAATAGAACGGGTAATATCTGAAGCGCACAGGTTCAACAGATTGTGAGACAACATTATGCATTGTTACACTGTTCTTACCATGCAATCAATTTTTCAGTACTGGATGGCTAAATCCTTTTCACTGGTTTTTGGGTGGGTTTTTTTTTTCCTTTTTTTTTTTTTTTTTTCTTATCTGCAATGCTTAGCTGCCCAGGCAAACAAGTAAGGTAGGATGTTTTACTCCCAGCTTTTGTGTTGTAAATCAATTATAGTATGGGACCTTCTAGAACAGAGACAATCACAGACAGCTTTTGCCCTTGAGCCTTACATCTCTGTGCATGTGGAAAAACACAGCACCTCCAGCAGTAGTCACCAAATCCTTGGTGGGAGGTTGGAGTTGTATTATTCTGGCCAGCTACCTTGTCTCACTAAACCATTCCTTTTGCTTCAAAAAGGCCTGCTTCAGGAAACAAATGGGCTGGTAAACCAGGTCAGTGCATGCTTACATCAAACAGAAAGCAAGCTCTTCTCCAAAACTCACCAGTTTCTGGTTTTGAGTTCAGACATCCCCAAACCTGTCCTGCACAGAGCTCTGTTGCCACCCATAGTGGTATTTACCAACATTGCTCATGAACCCCCTTATCTAATATACTGGATTCTATATGTGCACATAGGCTTCTGTTCACACGTTGCCAGCTTAGAATGTGCTTTGTGAATACCATTCTTCTGTACAAATAGCAGGATGTCTGTCTGTCTTCTGCTGTGAGGAATTGGGGCAGAAATATAGGAGAACAAACAAAAACATCATCTCTTCTTTTTCATTGCAGCCTTTGTACGAGCATCTCCCAGCTCACCCGTCTGCATGCAGCCTTGTTTCCCCTTGTCTCACAGTCCTCAGTGCTAGTCAGTTCTCCAGACTCACCTGTGGTGTGCTGAGACAGCAGCTTGGCCCATCATGGCTTCCCAGCTCCCAGCTCTGACTCCACTTATGCAGCCTATGCCTCATGCTGACACCAGTCACTGTGCGGTGAGCCCGTTCAGGCAGTTCACCCAGCTTAACTGGGGGCTTTTGGATCAATCCCCTGAAGGTATGGCCAGGTATGGGGGTGGACAGGAAAGAACCACAGCTGGCCCGAACTCAGCATTTGTCAGCTGACATGAAAGCACATTCTCTATGAGGATATAGCTTTTGCAAAAAAGATCATAAATCCAGCAGGATTTCAAATTACTTATGTTGGTATTTGAAACCATGAGTCAAGCCAGGGAGTAGAAACATGGCACTTTGAATTAAACTGGCTAAAGCTGCTGGGGAACTATACATGCCATTTGAATATGCTTGTTTGAGAACTGCCATCCTGACAGCTTCTTCACATCTTTTAAAACAAATATATATTAAAATTGAACTTCTCAGAGTGGGGGGGGACACACTTTTCTGGATACGCCACTTGTAACAGCAAGAAACGTAACGTTCTTACTTACTAAGGGCTACTCCTACAATAAAAGAGGAGTGGTTTATGTAAGGATGCAGAAGAGAATGGACGTGCAGAAGAATGGTACTTTCCATAAAATTTAATGGACTTCCCAAACTGCAGTGAGTCTACACTTAGTCACTAACCGTGTGATCATTCATGATCCCAAAAAGGGAACAAAGCAGTACCTCAAAGAGTATTAAATGTAAGTAAGAAGCTTCCAGTCACGCCATCATTTAAGTCTGTAAAATTACAAATTGCAAACACTGGTCCAAAGACATGCTGTGAGTTCCTCAGGTTTCCAATATGATGGTGGAGGTGTTAATTTGGATTTAAGTGCACGCATCAAATACTCAAGGTAGTCATGCATTAAATAGGTACTCTTAGCCTGCAAAAGAGTGATTATCAAGATCTGCCATAAAAACTATTTTACTTTTTGCCTGAATCTTCAATATTCAGGCTTTTCTCCGCTTAAACTTGTTCTGTTGTTTATGACTTTTTGGCCTAAAAATCATGCTTCCAGTTTTTTAAAATGCATATTTAGTGTCAGATTTGTAGTTTGCTGGCCTGTAGTGAGAGAAGTTGCTGGTCTGTTAAGCTCTGGAACAACGCAGATAGCAAACACTAGCTCTGTTCCAAAAAATGCTAGGGTTAAGCTGGCTTTTAATCCTTTCTGCTTTTGCTGGTAGTCCAGAACAGCAACGTTCTGATAACAGGAACCTTCTATCTCCATTTTAGTCACGGGCAGTTTATCCCAACCTGACCTCGTGCCACCATTTTCCTTCAGTTTAAACTGCTCACTTTGCTCTTCAGTTGTACATTTAGAGAGAAAAGCTATAGCGCTCTCTCTCTGCTTAGCCTGTAGCTATTCCCTGCTACATTTGCCTATTCCCTTGACAATAAAATTACTTCATGTCATTACTGCATCTATTTTAGGCATCTATCTGCAGATCAGTTTTCTTCTTCCGTGTAGTCAGACCGGAACGGTTTTACAGTGGTTTACTTTTAAGCTTATGATTGAAGCCGATTCTTCTTTCCAGACCAGATAAAACCTCACTCTTCGAGGACTCTCATGGGAAGCTGTGAAGGCATATCTGGGTTCCTGTCAGTAGCGCTGCATGCCGACTCTTTCAGTAAGGTAGAAGCAGGAAGGTGACCCTGGACTAAGTGATCAATGCTCCTTCTCCTGTTCGCTACAACTGTGTTACTTCTAACGATCAGCCTGAATATGCTCTTTGTAGTTTATACCAACTCATCTTGTGACAAGGCTTTCAGCATAATAGAAAAGTTCCCCCCCCCCATTGGTCCCCCCGTCCTAAATTAGGTGACATATAATACTAGCAATAAATAACTTTATAATTTAAAATTTGTATAGTGGCATTTTCCTTACCTCCTTTTTTGCATTTACACTGTGTAATTTTACAGTCAGCTCCAGAATCGCTGGTATCTGGGTTTTTTTTATCTTTTGCGTAAAATGCATTCCAGCGGCTACACCAGAAAATAAACTCATTTGTAGCTGAAGCTACAAATACAAAACTACAAAACTACAAAACCTAAAAGCAAAACCATCTTAATATTGTGCATGTATCTAGTACCAGCAGTCCTAAATTACATCAAATGGCTCTGAAGATTGTAAATATGTAAACACAATACATTTTATTTTGGATGCAGAACAGAAAACAGGAAATAACACAACCGGCCAACTCATCTGCAGTTGCTAATTTCAGGAGAGGCTCTCTTGTGTAGAGATTCACTAGTTACTATATTTCAGCATATTTCTAAGGTAAACTGCAACAACCTTGGAGATGAATTTCATTTTACTGTATAAGACGACTCCAACATATTCTATTACTATCCCTGACTTAATGAGCAGAGTATAACTTGTATCTAATCCCGGTCTGTGTCTACAGTTTCTTTTATTTCTTAAGAGCAGGTCCTACCGAGGTTGGAAAAGACAGTCAGCACTTACCTGTTACCTTCCCACCCTCCTACTAGCATAGTTTGGGCTGCAGCCTCTCTCCTAGGGTTGCGTGAACTCACGAGAGTGTAAAGGTTACCTACAGGCACGGGAAGGCCCTAACGTCTACCCTGAAGCACTTCAAATAAAATACCAACTAAAACGGTCAGGTCTCTGTTTAACGACCGGCAGTTGATTTTTTTCAGAACCAGCATCAACTCCAACCTCCAGCGCAACCGCCGCCA